CTATTATGCATCATAAGGAAATGTGTAATTCCATAACGAGAACAAGAGTAAGGTTTATCATTTTACTAAACTTGATAAGTTTCATTATAAATACTACAATTCTGCCGGAAAAATGAACAGTAATATATGTACATAGCATAATATTGATAGGAAATGTATTGATTAGCTTAAGTATGCAAAATATCTAAGTCCATGTTAAGATTGGCAATAAAGAAGTATACGGTTCACGTTTGCATTAATTTTTATTCTTAGACAACTTTTTAGATCTTGGCGCAGCTCCGCGATTTGAGTTTAGTGTCGAAGAGCCTGAAAAAAAAATTCTTTTGAATACTTACGGCAATGTGTGAAAGCTAGATACAGTAAAAGCTGTTCTTGTTCGGTCCTTTTTTATGCGATTTTTAGGTAGTACATCGTACAAAGTTGTTTATTATATGTAAGCATTTATAAAATTTCAGAATATTTTTTTGTACGATTCCTTTTATACGGTCCCTATCCACCGCACAAAAACAGGTTTTACTGTATATTCTACTGCAGCGGCATGTTAGACAGTAAGTCTCAATTATGTCATCAGTATGAAATTCCAATTGCCAAACGAGTCGCCGTATCATGCAAGTGAGGTTTACACTCAGCCCCTCCTGAATAAAAAAACCTTTTCGGAAAGCAAGATTATGTACAATTCAATTGAAGCATCATTGGGGGAAAAATCAACTACCAGTCATTCATCATCCTAAACGAAATATGGTGAACAAAACTCATAAATTAATGTAAATATGAAGACCAAAGTGGTGTGGCCTTTGTTTGACTACGTCTCCTTTAGTTGTTTCGTTTATGCTTTCGGAACAAAATGAAGGCCTTTTAGAATTTAGCTAGAGTCCTGCCATGATTTCCAGCATCGGGCGTAGGGTTGGGTACCTTTCAAAGGGCCTATTTGTCGCTTCGACTTAGTTGCGAGAACGAGGTCAAGCTAACACTTCAAATTGAATAGGAGCTGTATTCATACTAGTGTGGAGTACTGATGGTTAGATTTTATCAAAATGATGTTGGGCTATTGCATTTCACTCGCCTCTCGAAAGGCTATCTCATCCAGGGTGGGCTAGTATTGACCTCACCTGCGTCTTATCAGCGCGCACAATATAATAGGGCCTATAATGTGTAGTGTGGCAAATTCCACTGTCAGGGTTCACGTATAGCACATTAGACTAATTATGATACCTAAATACATATTGGTGACCTTAATCGACTCTAAAGGTTTAAGGAATAATGTTTGGGTGTAGAGTTTGACCGATTAGCAACCAAGACAATGACTAATTAGGCGATTAATATGCATTATCTAGGCCCGAAATAAATTCTATATGAAGTGAAAAAAGTTGTATAGATTAACAATTACCGGAAACACGATCTGAGTCTGGAACTGGACTCTGGGTGTTTAAGTGAAATTTACTCGCAGATTTGCGCTTTCTTGATGTGGTGCTGCGAGCGTGATTGCTATTTGGTTCCTTGGACCTGGGCCGGAGATCCGACTCCCTGCTGGATTTACATGTTTGCTCCAAAATCCGGCCGTCTCTCTTGGCTCCCATTGAAGATTGTTGAGTCGAAATTAGGGATGACGCCTTAGCGGATTTAGTTTTAAGCATTGCTCCTTCACAAGGCGCTTTCACGCGTCTATTTACGATGGGAAGGGAAGTGAGATGAGAAGAGTTGTTCAATGGGGGATCATGTGAATCAAATTGGCGGATCTTACGAGAATTGGAGAGGCAAGATCGTGAAGTAATTGGAAGCTTCTTGGTGCGCGACTCTGTGGCGCGCGTCCCGCTGCATATATTGCGAAGTTTAGCAGCAGACTTCCGCACTCGAGCGCTCGGCATAGTAATCTAGTCGAATGGGACAAATTGAAAAACAAATATAAGCGGAAAGACCGATATAAAACTTGAAGATGATCCGTCTTACTAATAATGCTCTAGGATTTATTTAGTAAATACTACTAACAAACATTCAACTTCAAATATGTAGGAAAACTGGTTTTCGAATCACCCTGTCTAATGTCCTGATGAATTCAAGTAAAGAATGATGTCCTGCTCTGACAGTATCTGTCACGACGGACAAAGACTCAGCAAGAATTAATCGGGGTTGGGAGGGAGGTGAACAGAGGACTTGTTCGAACAAACCTATCGTCACAGATCTGAAGTAATCCCTCTTCAGCTTTCGGCGAGGCAAGATTGAGCATCACTTCCATTCCCCTATGTAAACGAAATTCCAGGTAGTTCAATATCAATTCGACTTCAACGCTAGCCATCTAGCCGAATATAAGAGGAAAATGAGCAATTAATAATTTGATACTGATACCAGACGAATAACTAAAAGCTATGGCCAATTAATTGATCATTTGGCTGCAGGCTTTGCGTAACCTAGGGGTGACTTCTGTAGTCTGGCTTCCAGTGAGATTAAAAATCGGGTAAAACATCTTAACCGACGAATATGCTATCATTATATGGTCTGTGGAAAACTGAGTTTCTAAGAAACCCTTAATAGACCCATGTTGGAGAACCTTTCAGTTCGAGACAGATGCGATTTTATATGCAGGCGAGGTCTCTGCAGGTCCACACCCGGTGGAAATATTTTCGAACAGGCCTCCAGCACTGTTCATTATTTGTCAGCAATATACGGTTTAATGTTGAAGTACCTGTCATTCCGTTTGAAGAGGCGAGTAAAAAGGATTTGTAAGTTAGTTCTACC